GGCTCACGAGTTTGATTCGCTTATCCTTGTTCGTCCCAGCCGTTCCTTAACTGCGGTTGCTGTACCTCTTCCTGGCACTCTCCTGAACGACTCTGTGTTACTTAATGTAGCTGCCCCTCTTCCTTGTACCCTCCTGTACGATTGCATTGCTTAGCTATATGCCTGGTCCAAGGTTCGACGCCACAAAATCAACTTTGTACGCGTGAAAATAGTTTAAATACTATTTTCCGTGCTTGCAACATTTTTCTTTACTGCTTCGCCTCTATTAGTCGTAGAGTGATTGTATATATCCTATAGCCTTCCTCAATGTATGAGCTATTCAACACAAAAATAATGATTTCAATCAAACTAGTAATTCTTAAGATTAGCGCGTTCAAACAAACAAACAAAAAACTCTTCAGCGTTTTAATATGAACTTGTTGTTGTTGATTTTTGGCGTCGAACCTTAGACCAGGCATACGGCTAGGCAACGTAGTCATGCAGGAGGATACAAGGAAGAGGGGCAGCCACAGTAGGTAACACAGAGTAATTATACGTATATTTTCTACTTTGCCGAACTTTAGCGCGAGAACGGTTTGTCCAAAACATATGAATTTGGTCTTATTCAATGCAGGATTAAGTGCCCTTCAACCGTCATGAAGACCACTTTTTGATCGGGTAAGTCCTTTACGCGGTATAACCGGAAAACCGAAAAAATGCCTCTTTCGGGGGCCCCCACCACTTAAGCACAACTCCGTCGAAATCGAAAACTTAGGAGAATCTTAATGGGCAACCAATGAAGCCATTAAAACAATAAAATCTTTTGTAGGAATTATTTCCGATTTAAAAGCTAATTCTACTGGACTAAACATTGTTACATAACAACATGTACATTTAAAAATAACATCCTTTATCATAAGGATTTTCTTAACCTATACTTTGAATTTGAAATAGACAACTTGAAAAAATCGAACTAACTAAGGCGGGACTCGAACCCACGCAGTCGCCCGGCATGCGGAAGATAGTGGGTTCGAGTCCCGCCTTAGGTAGTATGATTTTTCAAGTTGTTTTTTTTAAATTAAGTTCGAGAAGCGACTCTATTCTCTAAGAAATGTTAATAAGTTTGAATTTATGAATATAAACTTCTGCTGGCCCATCGTAATATAAACACTTAATTAATCTTATTATAGACCAGGTACTTGGCAATGCCCGTAGCTGATCTTTAATTTTCCAGCTTTTAAGCTGAGGTGGAAAAAGCACAAAATATAAGTAATAATAATAAATCTTTGGACAATATCACACAATGCCAGCTAGCCCCAAAGTAAGCAACTCAATGCTTGTGTTATTGGTGCTAGCTTAACGGATATACTACTTATATACTTTTTTTTTAGAGAATAGGTAGTTCTGTATGAGATTGTGGGACTTTATGGTAGTGTAAGACGTGTGTTGGGTGCAGGCCGACGTGGGCGAGTGCCGCGGGCGCGCGGCCGAGCTTCAGGCGCAGCTGGAGGACGTGGCGGGGCAGCTGGGCGACGCGCGCGTCGACAAGCACGAGGAGGCGCGCCGCCGCAAGAAGCAGGAGATCGTCGAGAGCTTCAAGCGGGACATACCCGGCGTGGTGAGTGCTGTTCGCGCCTAAATGGCAATGCCAGATTTTGTATGGAAGGTGGCGTCTTTTTTTTCGCGCGGCCATCGACCAAACTTTGTTTTTTGATTACAAAATAGTGTAATAAACCAAACTTACTATGAAATGACTACCTCTAAACTCAGTGTGAACTGAGTTACGAGCGTTAGAAGTTTTATGATTTTACATACTAAATTTGCTTTTTGCGCGCAAGTTTTGTAAGAAATTGCAACAAAATAGTGAGATTGTATGTGTAAACAAACAATACCATCCATTAAAGGCTCCAGACATCAGTTTGGAGCAGAATCAGCGCAATAAAAAAATAGCGCAATATTTTGTTGCAATTTCTTACAAAACTTACGCACAAAAAACAAATCTAGTATGAAAATCATCAAACTTCTAATGCTCGTAACTCAGTTCAGACTGAGTTTAGAGGTATACATACATGCAATAGTAAGTTTGGTTTATTACATTATTTTGTAATAAAAAAACAAAGTATGGTCGATGGCCGCGCGAAAAAAAAAGACGCCACTTTCCATACAAAATCTGGCATTGCCATTTAAATACCCTGGCATGCGTTCTAGAAATTTCGACCCTATCGACGAATGAAAACGGTTCCCCGAATGCGGGCCCTGTGGCATGCGTTCCAGAAATCTCCCGCACGCCGCATGCGGCACCGTACATGAACGGAGAGCGGTGAAGGCAGCCGAAGATGGAAGATCGGCCGCGCTCGGCAGTCTTCGGTTTTTTTTCTAAGGCCGGCAATACAAGGACAGCTCGAGCGGTTAGTCAGTGATCAACATACACGGACCGCTCTTGCAGTCAAGAGTCAACAGCTTGAAGCTGCCAGTGATAACTGCTCGAGCAGTTGGTATTAACTGCTCAACAATTTTGGAAATATTGGAAAAACTCTGCAAATCATCAAACCTACTCTAAATATTTATTTCTTGTAGTAAACAGTGGCAACACACTTAGGCCGCGTTTCCACTATGCCGGATCGGCAGATTTGTCAGACGAACAGAGTGTTCACATTACACCGGATCCCGCAAGAAAATGGGACAGTTAACGAGTCTACTTTTATCAAAAAAATACAAGTCGAATGACGCGAGGGACCGTTACTGGACAAACTCGTTCACAGTGCGCCGGTCCGGTGGTTCTGCCGGAACTTCGCAGTAACAAAACACTCGGTAACAATGCCGATTCCGGGATAATGTGAATAGCTTCATATAAATTGTACAGCAACTAGCCCTTCCGGGAGTTTTACCGGTCCGGCAGATTTGCCGCTCAGGCGTAGTGGGAACCGGGCATTAGGCCTAGTTCACACAACAACAATCGCGCGGTCGCTCGGGCTTAGGGTACGGTTACCGCTTCAGGTCCTCGCCAAAGAGAACCCAGAAACCACCCGGCTGTCGCGCGTGTTGGAAACAGGCCTTACTGTGACGTAGATCACGCCCGACTGAGCGTGGCGTATTGTGACGTCACTCGGTCAGATTGCGCCCGGTCGTCTTGACCTCTCGTTCTGGGTGGAAGAATACTCTTAAAGCTTTAATATCTCAGACATTTTTAGTAATAATAAAATAGTAAAAACAGTAATTTTGTAATTTTTCTTAGATGTTGATTGTCGGTCACGCTCATTTCCTCTTTGCCCGCAGTACGACCGCATGATCAACATGTGCCAGCCGACGCACAAGCGCTACAACGTGGCCATCACCAAGGTGCTGGGCAAGTACATGGAGGCCATCGTGGTGGACACTGAGAAGACGGCGCGCCGCTGCATCCAGGTCCTCAAGGAGCGTATGCTGGAGCCCGAGACCTTCCTGCCGCTGGACTACATCCAGGCCAAGCCGCTGCGAGAGAGGCTCAGGTGAGACGGCGCTGCATCCAGGTCCTCAAGGAGCGGATGCTGGAGCCCGAGACCTTCCTGCCGGGAGACTACATCCAGGCCAAGCCGCTGCGGGAGAGGCTCAGGTGAGACGGCGCTGCATCCAGGTCCTCAAGGAGCGAATGCTGGAGCCCGAGACCTTCCTGCCGGGAGACTACATCCAGGCCAAGCCGCTGCGGGAGAGGCTCAGGTGAGACGGCGCTGCATCCAGGTCCTCAAGGAGCGAATGCTGGAGCCCGAGACCTTCCTGCCGGGAGACTACATCCAGGCCAAGCCGCTGCGGGAGAGGCTCAGGTGAGACGGCGCTGCATCCAGGTCCTCAAGGAGCGAATGCTGGAGCCCGAGACCTTCCTGCCGGGAGACTACATCCAGGCCAAGCCGCTGCGGGAGAGGCTCAGGTGAGACGGCGCTGCATCCAGGTCCTCAAGGAGCGAATGCTGGAGCCCGAGACCTTCCTGCCGGGAGACTACATCCAGGCCAAGCCGCTGCGGGAGAGGCTCAGGTGAGACGGCGCTGCATCCAGGTCCTCAAGGAGCGAATGCTGGAGCCCGAGACCTTCCTGCCGGGAGACTACATCCAGGCCAAGCCGCTGCGGGAGAGGCTCAGGTGAGACGGCGCTGCATCCAGGTCCTCAAGGAGCGAATGCTGGAGCCCGAGACCTTCCTGCCGGGAGACTACATCCAGGCCAAGCCGCTGCGGGAGAGGCTCAGGTGAGACGGCGCTGCATCCAGGTCCTCAAGGAGCGAATGCTGGAGCCCGAGACCTTCCTGCCGGGAGACTACATCCAGGCCAAGCCGCTGCGGGAGAGGCTCAGGTGAGACGGCGCTGCATCCAGGTCCTCAAGGAGCGAATGCTGGAGCCCGAGACCTTCCTGCCGGGAGACTACATCCAGGCCAAGCCGCTGCGGGAGAGGCTCAGGTGAGACGGCGCTGCATCCAGGTCCTCAAGGAGCGAATGCTGGAGCCCGAGACCTTCCTGCCGGGAGACTACATCCAGGCCAAGCCGCTGCGGGAGAGGCTCAGGTGAGACGGCGCTGCATCCAGGTCCTCAAGGAGCGAATGCTGGAGCCCGAGACCTTCCTGCCGGGAGACTACATCCAGGCCAAGCCGCTGCGGGAGAGGCTCAGGTGAGACGGCGCTGCATCCAGGTCCTCAAGGAGCGAATGCTGGAGCCCGAGACCTTCCTGCCGAAAGTCAAAATTTCTTTATTTGTTTAGACTAATAAATAGTTCTTACAAATCGTCATTTTGCTCTTAAGGAGCCTCTACATGTCTCATAATCTTTTTACCCTACCAGCGCTTCGAGACCAACATTTGGCAAGTGCTGAGAAGAAGCGCCGCAACAAACTCAGTCACCACTGTCTGCCGGTTAATATAAATAACAAGAAATGGCAGTAGTAGGTACATTCGATTCAGGAGCAGTTCACTGAATTTACCATGCATTCTTGTATAGTGTATAATGGGTATACAAAATTGCGTGGTATTAAACAAGGTAGTGACGTGCTAATATCTAGACTTACAGATTACATACTTAAATACTAGTAGAAATGACTCGCATACATAAATTGGAATAACTTGGATTGACCAGTCCCCGAAAGCAGCGCCTGTTCACAGACATGACGAGTGAACCAGCCATCGCTTCATCGCTTATTTACTCTGATATTGACGTCGTGTACTCCAGGGACATCAAGGAGCCCAAGAACGTGAAGCTGCTGTTCGACGTGCTGCGCTTTGAGCCGCCCGCGATCCACCGCGCCGTGCTGTTCGTCACCAACAACGCGCTGGTCTGCGAGACGCCCGAGGACGCCTCGCGCGTGGCCTACGACCTCGACCGCATCAAGAACTCGCGCTACGACGTATGTACCCGAACTGTACACTACTATAATACCGTCTCGTATAGTTCAGTACTGTACCTTACAGTACTGTACATTACAGTATTGTACCATGTACCGTAACCTAACGTATTACGAGGAACATCACTCTGAATCGTGATTCAAGATGATGACCACGACCACTCTGACAAGAGTGTACCGACTGAGAAGAAGAAGAAGAAGAACCCTGTACCGTACACTATAGTACCATCTCTTACAGTTCAGTACTCTCCCGTACAGTACAGTACATTATAGTACCGTACCGTACACTATAGTACCGTCTCCTACAGTTCAATACTCTCCCGTACAGTACAGTACATTACCGTACCGTACAAGTCAAACCTTAATTTCGAACTCCTCCTATGTTCTTCTGATTAATTTCGTTGCGGGTCCAATGACAGTTTAACTTTCCCCCGGGACAAACTTGACCTTCATTGGTTGGGTTTTTGTGGCGGTCAAGCTGTAGATCCTGGCTACACAGGAGTTGCAGTGGTGGGAACGAGAGGTGGGAATAGTCCCGTACCGTACACTATAGTACCGTCTCTTATAGTTGAGTACTCTCCCGTACAGTACATTATAGTACCGTACCGTACACTATAGTACCGTATCTTAAAGTTGAGTACTCTCCCGTACAGTACAGTAACCTCCCGTACCGTACAGTAAAATCTGGTTGGTGCCGTACTCGGTAGCTCCAAGGCCACCACAGCCGGAACAGTAATGTGTAAACCTCACACCTCTCTGGTAGGTGTGGGTCCACATTGTATAACTGCCTAAATGGTAAGAGCTAATGTCAATGTGCTAATGTGTTTATGCTTAATAAACGATTGAGTATTGAAAATAAGTAAAATGTATGTCATAGGCGCTAGCTCTGGACGGCACGTTCTACCAGAAGTCCGGCATCATCTCCGGCGGCTCCTTGGACTTGGCGCGCAAAGCCAAGCGCTGGGACGAGAAGCACCTTTCACAGTTGAAGGCCAAGAAGGTATGTCTAACTTTTTGTGTGGCATAAAGAAATGCTAATCCGTGGCATCCGTAAATAAAGAGGCAATGGGCAGGGCACATAGTACGCAGAACCAGGCCTGTTCATCTCCGCGAGTTTACATCGAAAACAAAACACGCACGACGGCCCACCTACGGGATACTATTCGACAAGGCCTCACATACGAGCGGACATTGACTCACGCACGCGTATTCTTGTGTATGATGGAAGAAAATAAAGAAAATGGTGTACTAAATACTGTGCAGTATTTAACTGCCTAAATAATAATAAAAACACAGAATGTACTTTTTTAAGTTGCCTCAAGACACTGAGAGGTAAATTAGTAGTTAATATTATTCATGATAATTCATGCTAAATCATGTATTTCCTCCGCCATTTTCCGCAGTTTGGCACCTCACGTCACATCATTTTACCGAAGTCAGCCCTATAGCTTCGGCGCAGTGCCGATCACTGACGTTTGTCAACAAAATGGTGCTTGACTCTTGAGACAGGCTAAATTACACCATATTGTTAATGACATTGAGCATAATTTTTTTTAAATACCTTCGCGAAGTAAAACTTCTGTACGTAGTACTTATTATTATTCTGTGGCAGAACTGAAGCCCGATGGGGCAGCAAGGTGGAGTCCGATGGAGCGGAGGCCACGTACCAGAAATTGCAGCGTGAGACGTCCACCCACAAGGTGGACTGACGACCTGATAAAGATAGCAGGAAGGCGCTGGATGTAGGCCGCTACCAACCGTGCGATGTGGAAGTCATTGGGGGAGGCCTATGTTCAGCAGTGGACGTTCTATGGCTGAAATGATGATGATGATAAAGAAATGCTTTTTCTAAACTTTTCGACGTTTGTTGCGGCAAAATATTTGACGATTTGTAAGTACTATTTATTAGTTACAAATAAAGAAACTTTGGCATTGACTTTTCGCAGGAAAAACTGACAGAAGAACTTCGCGAGTCTATGAAGAAATCGCGTAAGGAGTCAGAGCTGACGACGGTAGACTCGCAGATCCGCGGTCTCGAGTCGCGTCTCAAGTACGCCATCACCGACCGGGACACCACGGTAACCTCATTAATCCTTTCCTTACCGGTTAACAATAATATTGTTTTAAACTTTCATCCTTAAATTTTGAGTTATCATTCAAAGATTTAACGGAATTCCGTTTTTGTTACAGTTGAAACAAATAAAAGCTCTCGACGCGGAGCTTGCAGAGCTTGAAAGGAAAATGGATAATTTTGGTGTGAGTAACTGAACATTTTTATCGGAAATTCTTTGTTTTCCAATTTTCACACCATAAAACCCTCATTCTATTTTATTTCCTGTATTACTTTGTAAACACATACAATGTTACTTTTACTGAGACACTTCGGAATTCAACAATGTCTATATTGCTATTCTCAAATTCAATATTGCTAACAAAGTATTTTAAAAATACTAATATTTTAGCACGGAAAAGTTACGTAACTTATACAGTTACATCACATTTTTCTTATAAAAGATTATTAGTAAAATGTTTGTGTTACTAGTGGGCTCACCACAATAGTCGAGCGGTTCGGTTGGATTCGGACCCGCGCGGTCACGTTCCTATCCGCCTATCGTGGCTGTAATGTCAACAGATTGCATTTCCTTTTGTGATTTTCAGTAGAATCAATTCGGTCGGATCAATATGTAGGCTCATTTGAAAAGTTTAAAGTAAATAAATAATTTGCAGCCGCAAATCGAGAGCATCGAGCACACGATCCTGGAGCGCGACGCCAAGATCCAGCAGGTCAAGGAGAACATGAACAACGTCGAGGACGTCGTCTTCCGCGGCTTCTGCAGGGACATCGGCGTCGCCAACATCCGGTACTAGTCACCAAATTCATCATCATCATCATTTTCAGACATAGGACGTCCACTGCTGAACATAGGCCTCCCCCAATGATTTTCACGATGGCCGGTTGGTGGCGGCCTGCATCCAGCGCCTTCCCGCTACCTTTATGAGGTCGTCGGTCCACCTTGTGGGACGTCCTACGCTGCGCTTTCCGGTACGAGTCACCAAATAACGACTACTATAACGCGTCACACTTACTATCACGGTTACAGATATTTATTAAGGAAAACCGTGTGTGTGACTCACGTGCAAGTTATTAATCTGTGCACAAACAGTAGTCGCCTCGGCAGACGGATTTTGCGCCTGCGCACGCGCAAACGTGGACCCATTTTAATAAACTATGACGTCACGACGCATAGCAGTAAGGCTGAGACCACACTACGGTTTTTTCCCGCAAGCGGTAAACCGCGAGACCGCCCGAAATGTATGTCGAGTCGCGGGAAAAAGCCGCAGTGCGGATGCTTGCATTTCTTTTACTTTAAAAATCACGTGGTTATAAACCGCGGCGGCTTAGCCGTAGTGCGGACTCGGCCTAACAAGGTCCTTCAACCCGCAGGCAGTACGAGGAGCGCGAGCTGCGAGCGCAGCAGGAGCGCGCCAAGCGCCGCATGGAGTTCGAGGCGCACATCGACCGCATCGCCTCCAACCTCGAGTTCGAGCGCTCGCGCGACACGCAGAGTGAGTACCCGCCTGCTGACGTAGCTGCAGGAGCCGCATGGAGTTCGAGGCGCACATCGACCGCATCGCCTCCAACCTCGAGTGCCGCATGGAGTTCGAGGCGCACATCGACCGCATCGCCTCCAACCTCGAGTTCGAGCGCTCGCGCGACACGCAGAGTGAGTACCCGCCTGCTGACGTAGCTGCAGGAGCCGCATGGAGTTCGAGGCGCACATCGACCGCATCGCCTCCAACCTCGAGTTCGAGCGCTCGCGCGACACGCAGAGTGAGTACCCGCCTGCTGACGTAGACAGGGCTTGAGCCATTATGGGGCAATACCTTCCCTTACGATTATCTTTGCCCTATCATAACAATTACCAGAAAAAAACAGCTTTCATTAAACCTCCAATTATCAAATCGAGATACCTACTATTGCCTATGAAGAAGTTTCAATTTTAAAATATAAGTAAAACTAATAATCATTGTGAAAGAATAATGAAAATTATATCTACAAATATAGCCTGACCAGGAACATAAAAACCCTGGCTTAGAGGCGCTTCAATTGCATTTGATAGTGCAACACTGGGTACAGTCGTACCTGTATTAAATTAATAGGCTAACTTTATGTATCAGGATTCAGGATTATAGGCTTATTTAATATTTTCATAAATTAACAAAAACGTATTATATTATAGGTAAACTGGTTTAAATAAATTAAATGAAACCATCAATCGAGCAAGTAGGATTTTATTATTATTCATCAATAATCAAATTCTGAACTTGAATATTCTACTACGTCTGCTCATGAACGCTTCAAACTCGGTACTTCTTTCCCAATTCCATAAAATTCAATACTTACAAAGTGACAAAAAACTTTAAAATAGGGGCATTTCACGCGAAGCGGACAGCGAAAATCAAGTCAGGTTTTGGATTTTGTTCATATTTGGATTAAATGTACTGCTATATGACCTGAATGGATGTGCATCATTATAATTTTTTTATGAAGCTTAGTTTATTTTTTATGAGCGTTCAAAAAATTGCTAAAATTTTAGGAACAGATTTTTCAGAAGCTATTACTGTTATTATT